CACAGAAATAAATGAAATCTACAATAGTGGAGATATAGAGGAAGATCTCAGCAGATCTAATTTCCTAGCACTGCCTAAGAAACCAGGCACAAATGAATGTGACCTCCACTGAATAATCAGACTAATGAACCACATAACAAAACTCATAATCCGTATTCTGATGAATAGAGCATGCAGCAGAATCAGGCCAGAGATAGGACAAGAACAGTGCGGGTTTGTTAAAGACACCGGAACAAGGAACATGATATTCATGCTCAGAATGCTATCAGGAAGTGCAATACAAACGCAGAAGAATGTTTACCTATGTTTCATAGACTATACAAAGGCCTTTGACAAAGTACACCACAAAGAGCTGCTGGAACTGCTCAGCAACCATGATATATTCGAGAAAGATATTAGAATAATCAAGAACCTATACTGGCAGTAAACAGCATGCATGCATATAGAGAATGAGTTCAGCAAATATACAAAAATAAAAAGGGGTGTAAGGCAAGGATGTGTCTTCTCACTGGACCTATTCAACCTATACAGTGAGGCAATTCTGAGAGAATAGAAAATCCTACCAGGATTCATCATTGGCGGCCACAATCTTAACAACATAAGATACTCAGATGACACAGTGCTGATAGCAGAGACAGAAAAGAAACTACAAAACCTCCTACAGAAGGTAGTGAAGGAGAGCAAGAAGAAAGGACTAAGCATAAACTAGAAGACAGAATGCATGGTCATTAGTAAAAAAAAAAAAAAAATGAGCCCTAAATACAAGTTACAGGTCTGGGACACTAAAATCAAGAAGGTGCGGAAGTTTAAATATCTGGGAAGTGCATTGACAGAGGATGGCAAATGCAACACAGAGATTTGTTGATGTATTGGGATGGTCAAGGACACATTCAAAAAGCTAGGCAGAGTATTGCGAGAAAGGAGGATCTCTTTGGTAACAAAGAAAAGAGTACTGAGCTCTTACTTGACATTTGTCATTCCTTTATGACAGCAAATGTTAGACAGTCTCCTCAAAGATGAAGAAGAGACTCGAGGTGACAGAGATGTGGTTCTACAGAAGGATGCTGAGGATATCATGGACTGAGCATGTGAGCAATCATGAGGTCTTGGAGAGGATGTAAAGAAGGAAGAGGCTTATACTTAACATCAGGATGAGGCAGCTGAAGTTTCTGGGACACATAATGAGAAAGTGGTGCCTGGAGAATCTGATACTCACAAGTCAAATAGAGGGAAAGAAAGACAAGGGAAAGCAATGCATGACATACCTAGCAGGCTTAAGCAAGTGGATGACAGAATGTGGTCTGGGGAAGGTGGCAGAGGGACAAAACTTATTGAGAGCTACAAGAGATAGGAGAAAGTGGAGAGCCATGATCGCTTACATCCTGAAAGGACACGGCACATAAAAAAGAAAAAGACATGTCTATATAACAAAACTTGGAATTTCATTTAATTATTTAATCCAACTAAAACATCATCTCTTCATTGATTTAGAAACAAAAATGATATCAGGACAATTTTGGTGTCAATATTTGAACCCAATTTTTGAAAAATTAGGGCATTTTTTTTTCTATCAGATGCTGAGATACATGCTGAATTTTTAATCAATCAAAGTGAAATAAAAAAATCATTGTTCCTATATAGCTCACATTAATAATCTGGACAATATTTTGATTCAAATTTATGCTCAAAATACATTTTTGAAATCATTTCTATCATTGTCAGTAATTTGAGCAGTACTCAAGAAAAATTACATAAAACTTTCTTTATTTTTGCCCATAGATCCCAATGCATACTTCATTTATAAACATGTCCAAAAATATGGCAACCATTACATTTTAAAATTTACCAAACAGAATTTTTAAAAATGAAGAAAAACACATTCGAGTGGTTAAATATTTTGTTACTCCAAACTACTGAATTTCTATTCAGATATTTCACTATTTTATCTTTGTAGATAGTATATTTATTAGTATAGTAATTATACTAAGCATGTGAAAAAGTACCCAGCATTTTTTGCAAACTTGAAACTGAATATGCAGCTGAATGCTGTTTTTTTTTGTTTTTGTTACCACTGGAAACTTTTGCATGTCCCCCACTAATTGAATTCTTATAACAACTTTTACAATTGACATTACTTTTATGTAATGAGACTGATTTAATATTTGAAACCATGACTTCAATATTCAGATTTTTTTTAAAAATTTATTAAATAGATGAATAGAATAATTATTACAAAAATAACGTCTGATTTTGACATCCCCACCATTCATTTTACAAAAAATAATTTCAGTGATTGTTATTGGGGGGGGGGGGAGTATGTAAGTAGGTTTAAGCATGTCTTTCATTGTGAAATTAAATATATACAAATTCTAACAATTTTGTGTGTGCAGGGGTGTGTGTATATATATATATATATATATATATATGTGTGTGTGTGTCTACATATATACATACAATTGTTATAGAAACAATAATTTATTATTTGAAATGAATATTTTCAAATTTTTCTTAATTTTTAGCTTTTCTCTGTTTTTTCATGTTAGCTTATTTCAAATTTAAAATATAATTAGATTCAAGATTACTCTGACCAGATATCATTTAACAAAAGAGTTGTTACTTCTGGACCAAACATCGTCAATATAATAAATGATTATATTTTTAGTTTAAGCAGTAACTTTCTGTTTGCTAGCATTCTTCAGCTTTTTTTTTTTTTTTTTTTTTTACATAAACCAATTATTTTTATTACCATTAGTTTTTGACTAGTTAGTCTTTTATTTTATTTTATTGCTTTTTACCTTAATGCTCAGGTCATTTTTTATTCACTATTCTCCCCACTCCAAGTTATGGATAAATAGCAGGACAGACTGGATCCTATAGCCTTGAGTGGTAACCAGTGTAGGAGAAGGAAAACTGAATTTGAAAACTCCAACTATGAGTTAGCTTCGCTAACCTGCAATTGGCCAAATGTGGTGAGTACAGTTACACCCCTAAAGACAAGGTCAATCAGGGAGGAGTTCCTCCAACAGGAGCCAGAAGGATTTGGATCACTGTTAAGCAATGAAACAAGTAAAATTAGGTGAACTATATGACTAAATTTAGACTATGTCTTCTGGGTAGTTTGTTCTAGCCAAATCAGTAAGGTGGTGCTCTGGTCAGACAGGCTCCCAAGTACAAATATCTCATCATTTTACAGTTGAAATGGGTTGATGTAACTGTAAGTTCTATGCTAGCAGTTTCTTCTTTCACACTTCTTACTTGTGGAACTATCTTCCAACTTCTAACTTCCCACTCAACTTTGATCTTCAAAAATTTAAATGCAATGTCAATTGTTATCTTCTATCTTCTTAATTCCTGCTCTTTTATGGTTCTCTCTCCTTAATAGTGTTTTTTCTTATATTGTTTTGTGTAGAGACCATGGTTAAATGTAACTGGCAGAAATGCCCAACAAACAGAATTCACAAAGTTTCCAATAAATGATAAATGGAAGAAAGAAAAGAACAGGGCAAAAATATTAATACAAAGCAAACTATATATATATATATATATATATATATATATATATATATGATAAAATGAAATAAAGAACTAGTAGGAAATGACTCTCAGTCTAACATGTTTCACCTTTAAGACTTTTTTGTTTTTTTAATTAGGCTGTAAAGAGAAAATATTTTGAAACTATATTCATAGCATTACTACCAACTATAAGCACTCTCTTAAAATATTACATTGCATCACCATTTCTCTACAGATCCATTATTCCTGAATCTAACTTATGTCTAAAAGAATGAGAATTTTACAAATTTCCCTTACGCATGGTAAATCTAACCAAACTAGATTTTTACAATATCCTACTTCATTTCACCAACCCAGAGTTGATGGCCACAAATTTCTCCCACACACACTCATAAATTCAAAAATCCAACCAAATACAAAATTATTTTGCAACGTATTGCTATATTTCACTGACAAAATATGAGAGTGACATGTGTAGACTTCCCTCACATACACACTTATACATTTACATGAATTAACACTACCATCCTACATAAACCTACACACACAAGAATTTCTTTACTTACACTATCATGCACTTTAACATGTTCCTTACATATATTTATATATTATCTATTGCGTTTATACACGTGACGCGTGTCTGACCAATGAGAACTACAAAAAAATCATAACATATCAGTCGTCTGTCTCTTTGCTTTTTCATTTCTATTCTCAATCTCTGACGAAGCCTTAATAAAGATGAAACATGTTAGATTGAGATTCATTTCTTTGTTCTTTATTTCATTTTATCATCTTGTCAGATTCATATCCATATCTGATCTACATTTGATCTTCAACTCATGAGTGTGTGTGTGTGTGTATATATATATATATATATATATATATATATATATATATATATATATATATATATATAAGCAAAAAAAACTAGACAAAGAAACATTAATAAAGCAAAAATTTCACAAAGTAAAAATGGTGTTAACACACAAAAGAGGTACAGACAAATGATCGCAGTGATTCTGATTTCAAGACAAGAAAGAAAAATATAACGAATGAGACCAAAAAGTGGTCAATCTTATTGACTCGGAAGAAATCCCAGCATGCATCTGTACAATTTGTCTATAAATTTGGGAAGGGGAATGTTTTTGCAATCATTCCAACTAGGTTGGATCCAACACCTTGTGTCTTAGTGGCTTTACTGGCTTATTTGGGGTGAAATGATTAAAAAAAGAAAAAAAAAAAGTTTAATTTTATTTGGCAGCCTATTCTTTATTTCCTATCTATGCTGCTTATTTAAGTCATAGAACGTTAAAGAAAAGAAATGACCTGAAATGTTGTGGTAAAAAAACAATAGAAAATGAAGGAAATTCAAGTCAAAAACGAATAATAATGACAATGTTCCATCAAAGTGAGTTAGTCAATTCCTTAATTTCAGGTGAAATTCTTGTATTTTTTTTTCTTGGTGGGGCAGGCTTTTTGCTTATCAATCACATTTTCTTAAAGCCAACAAGATAACTGTTTTCTTTGGCAACCCCATCTGTCTTTGATTGTTTCTCTTGCTGTTGTTGCCGAAACATATCTGTGATTTGTTCAATAGTCTTATCCTTTGTTTCTGGCAGGTACATATAGGTGAAGCCCCAAAAAAGCAATAGCAAAATGGTGAAAGGCACAAACGAGAGATCATCCAGTCCTTTCTGGAAAATAAGAAAAGAAAGATTACAATTAAAAATAAACTAGACTAATCAAAAGCCACATAATTTACAAAATAACATATTTGATGGTATATAGATCCCTTCAAACACACTATTTACATTTAATATTACAATATTGCGGAGTTAGACAGGTACAAATATTGATAGTTTACGACAGTGGTTACTAAACTTTTCTCTGGGACACATTTTTGGAATTAAAATGTGATCCCAGCTCGCTAAATTTTATGTGATAAAAAATACATTTAAAAATAAAAAACAGAAAGAGGGTTAAAGGGAGATAACGGCGGATTCGAAGTCAGAACATTACCATTGATAACTCTCTCCTCCAATTTGAAGACCCTAGTTACTATATTCTTAATACTTGATATAATGCAAAAATGTCACAAGGATAAAATTTGTTAATAATTATTTATAACTATTTATACTGAAACTCATGCATGCAATTACAAGTAATCCATCATAATATTTTAAATTTTGAAATGATATCTATTTTTGGTATATGAATTTTTTGAAACTATTTCTAAATCTTTGATTGTCTTTCAATCACCTGCTATCCTCTTCCATTGCACCTATAAGGAGTGCTGCACCATGTGGTAACAACTGGTCTAGGATGTCCGAGTAAACATTACTAGAAACCTCAGCTTCACTAATAAGATGTAGTGAGTCCCAATAAAATTGAAATAAAGTATACAAATAAAATATAAACAAAAAATAAAAAAATTAAAATAAGGCATTTGTGCTTTCCTTATCCTTTCCTTATCTCTTTCTTTCTCTCTCTAAACTTCTTTTTCTATACATCTCTCAACTAACGAGAAGGCAAGGCTCAAAAAAAAAGAGGAAGAAAAAGAAAAGACTGAACCTAGCTGAAAAAGAATGGAAGTTTGTGAGACCAGAGCCTTTTAATTTGTGATTGAAAACTACAAAAATTCAGAGAGGCTCCATGCATAAATTTCATTATAAAGAAAAAAAATGAAAAAAAAAAAAAAGGAACGCTGGAAAATAAAATAATTTTGGCCAATCAAAAATCGAACAAAAAGTGATTTTTGATGAACAGTGAGGCTTGGGCTGTGGCTTTGGATATCTCAAAGATGTGTGACAGGGTTTGGTATACGTTCCTTCTTTACAGGCTGAAGTGTTATGGTGTCCCCAGCAGAATTTTTGAATTGATCCAATCTTTTTTTGGACAAATTGTGCAATGAAATGTTCTAGATCATTTCACGTTAATGTGGGGGGGGGGTCTCCCAGGGCTCCATCCTTGGACCTACTTTTGTTTCTTATCTTCATCAATGACCTTCCTGATGCCATCAGTTCCTATCGATGTTGATAATACAACTATTTACTGCTCTCTTAATTATGTGTCTATATTTCTGAGATGAGGTATTATGTACATTATTCAGACTGTTGTCCTCATCTTTGTCGCCATATTTATTACAATGTTTCAGGGTAGACTGTTCTAGTTCCAGTCTACCCCAGTGAGTGAAATAAAGGGTTCAGTTCGACATTCCAAACTCTCTCTTAATAGTAAGTCTGATCAGTCCAATAAAGTAAAACTGACAACTGTCTCAAAAATTACGTACAATCTGTTCTTAACAGGGGCAAGAAATGGCTTGTAAATTTTAATTTCTCCAAAATGAAACTACTTTCTTTTAATCATCTTAATGAACTATTTTTGTCTTCCATCACTATGACTGATGCTAACCTCCTCAAAAACCACTCCTTACACCTCCTTGAATGCTTCAAAGAGTAACATTATCTTAAAAAATATTAAATTTAGGAACCTAACATTTATTTTATTACCTTATTTCTTTTAATATGAAAGAGTTAAAATAGCAAAAATAACTATGAAATCTACCCTTTAAAAAAGTGGAGGGTTCTTGTTTTTTGGGGTTTTTTCTTTTACCCATTTTGCATGCATGTTTACGAAACCTTTACCCTTAACTGAAAGGTTAAATTTAATAAATTAAACTTTGAAGAACATTTATACAGTGGGCCACTGATTTCTGGAAACTAACAGTCTTGTATCTCTATTCTAACAACAGGAAGCCTTGTACACCCCTTTTGGTAACAGGAAGTCCCCATACATCACTTCTAGCAACAGGAAGTGCCCTGTACCTCCTTTCTGGTAACAGAAAGCCTTGTACCTTCCTTTTGGCAACAGGAAGACCCCCCATACCTCAACTTCTAGCAACAGAAAGTGCCATTAATCTCCCTTCTAGTAACTTGAAGCCCCCTTTACCTCTTTTCTAGCAACAGGAAGCCTTCATACCTCCCTTCTGGCAACAGAAAGCCCCCTGCAACTCCCTCCTGGCAACAGACATTCCATGTACCTCTCTCTTAGCAACAGGAAGCCTCATACCTCTCTTCTGGCAACAGACATTCCATGTACCTCTCTTCTGGCAACAGACATTCCATGTACCTCCCTCCTGGCAACAGGCAACCCCTGTACCTCTCATCAGGGAATAGGGAGCCTGAGAGCACTTAATTTAGACAAAATAAAGAATGCACATCTTACACATTTGTTGGCTAATTCAAAGACTGCAGTGTTCTTATTTTGAGTGAAACTATTCTGCACATCTTAAAGCAGAACTGATATGTAATAATAGTATACATACTTACCACCAAATTGTAAATCCTTTATCCAACCCCAAATACCAAGGAATACTGCACACTGTTAATGTCAAGTACTGCTCACTCTTTGTGATGCATTAAATGTGGTAAATTTTAGTAAATCTGTTAGGACATTTATCTAAGAATTTAATATCAGAAATATTTGTTTAATTTCCTAAGTCATAATGCTTTATTGATATGTTTGTAATTTGTGGATCAGAGGTTGATTATTGGATTATCTCATGATCTCTGTTGATCTGGCAAAATGGATAATCCAGCATGGTTTCTTGAACCAGAATTAATGATATACCTCTAGGTACATATTTCTTGATTTGAAAAATCTGTCCGGAAAGTATCCGGCCATTTAATATTATCGGGGTGGGGGGTGGGGGGGGGGAACTATTTAGAGCAATGGCACTGATTGATTTCCAGATTACATCAAGGCTGCACAACCAGCCTTTGAGATATTTATAAATGACTGAGAATTGTCTGGAAAGACCTCATAATTCAAAAAACATATTTACCTGTACATAAGGAAAGGTAAAACCATTAATGAAATTTGATAGCCAGTTAATCATGGTGCAGATGCTCATGGCAGGGGCCCGGGATCCTTGGGGGAAAAGTTCAGCAACAATTAACCATGGAATGGAACCTGAAGCCAAAAAAAAAAAAAATAATGAAAATGGTAAGCATTTATTAGAGAATAGTAAATTATTTGTTTTGCAACACAAGGGTCATTGTAAAATAGAAAAAAAGTGTCAAAATTAAAAAGTTGAGGTGCCAAAGAGGAAAACTCATCAGAACATGAAAATATCTATAGAAAAGGTGCAGAAGCTATGCTACAGCGGTGGGAAAGTGATTGAAGCTGAGGTGCCAGGTCAAGAACAATAATATTGCAGATTTGCAGCTTCTTGGGCTCATGTTTTCCCAACATGAAGTAGTGTGATTATATTGAATCAATTGCTAGATCTAGTGCTAGGAAAGTTGGTTCACTGTTGTGTCAGATGATTTTTCTCATCAGAATCCATCTTAAACATTTATAAATCTACCATTCATCCCTGCATTGAATATTGCTGCCATATTTGGCCTGGTGCTCCCACTATATATATCAAAATACTTGACAAAATTCAAAGAAGTGTTTGTGATGTAATCAATCCTAACTTGGCATTTTAACTTCAGTCAGTTTCTCACCACCATGATGTAGCTTCCCTCTGTCTTTTCTACAAATATTTTCATGGCAATTGTTCTGATGAGCTTTCCTCCTTGGTGCCTTGACTATGAATTTGAAGTCTACTACTAGATTGGCAACTAGGTCTCACCATTTCACTGTTGAACTAGCTTGATGCAACTGTTCTATTCTAATAGATTCTTTTCTTGCAATTCTCACCTATGGAACTCTAGGTTATTGCTTCCCTGACATCTACAATCTTGAAAAATTTAAATGCGATGCTAACTCCCATCTTCTGTCTTCTATTGTCCTTTCTCCTCACTAGAGTCTTCCCATTTTCTTTCACTTCCAGTAACTCCTTGTGTCTTAGTGGCCTTATACCCTTGCTTGAGGAGAAATGATTAAAAAAATATATATTTTTTGGATTTTATCAAAAATCTCCAGATGCATAACAGAAGCACCAGACCAGATATGGCATCAATATTCAATACAGGACAAATATGGTATCAATATATGCATTCAATACAGGACAAATATGGTATCAATATATGCATTCAATACAGGACAAATATGGTATCAATATATGCATTCAATACAGGACAAATATGGTATCAATATATGCATTCAATACAGGACAAATAGTAGACTTATAAAGGTGAAGGATAATTAAATTTTTATCTGAAGTTGATATCCACTCAGTAGGTGTATTGTATTAATAATTTTCACTAAAAAGAGGTTTTTATTCTGTCTGAAACTGATTAAGAAATATGCTTTGCTAATGTGTCTGCTATAATTTGACTATCTAATTTGTTTTAAAGTTTTTCTCCATCAATGCTACAAGGCCTTTTCAATATGAATGAGTGGATACAAACCTGGACCAATTGAAAAGGCAGCAACATAAAAGATGACTGTTATGGCACCAACTGTTTGCATTCCTTTTACAGTGCCCTGAAAGGAAAAAAAAATTAAAATTAAAAACCAATATCATAAAAATAATTACAATTTTCTCATATTTCAAAGTATAAACATTGCATACATTCAACATAGACATTTTGTGTATTCAAAATGCCACCCTAGAAAATGATTTTTCTTTTCTTTAATGATGGCATATAAATTTCTGTAGATTATATTAAGAAAAGAAATTAGTGAGTGATATATTGAAATGTTCTGGTTTCCTATTTGATTCAGTTCAAAACAAGATTTTTTTTAGACATTTGTTGTTTTTATTTACAAATTTATGAAATTCTTATATTTGGAGAAAAGATATAAGCCTTATTTGCTCTTAAATACAGTAATTACTTTAACAGAAAATTATTTTAAAATATAGATTATAAACTTATACCTGATATTCTAATTGGCTTAAATAATAAAGAGAGGTGCATTAACAAGTCCACAATCTAACAACAGCTGCATTTGTTCCCAACCTAATTAATGACAGCCACATCAAAAGTTTCCAACCTAATAAGAGCCATATAAAGAAATTCACAGACAAATAATAAAGGTATTTATCTTCAGCACATTCTTGGAATGTGCAGAAGATTCTCAGTTGAAACAACTTCTCAAAATCTAAGCCTGAGAGTTTTTCAGCATCTCCATATATAGTAAAATAATTTCTAATGCCTTTCTGCACTAAAATCATTCCCAATGCCTTTTTGCACAAAAATCATTCCTAATGCCTTTTTGCACAAAAATCATTCCCAATGCCTTTTTGCACAAAAATCATTCCCAATGCCTTTTTGCACAAAAATCATTCCCAATGCCTTTTTGCACAAAAATCATTCCCAATGCCTTTTTGCACAAAAATCATTCCCAATGCCTTTTTGCACAAAAATCATTCCCAATGCCTTTTTGCACAAAAATCATTCCCACTGCCTTTTTGCACAAAAATCATTCCAAATGCCTTTTTGCACTAAAATCGTTTCCAATTCATATTTAATCATTTATTTCATAAAATGTTTTATACTGATGATAGTTTATGTATTTTTGAATAAATTAAGAGTCATGCATGACATTGATGTGAAAGTTTAGATAACAAGACTAAGAATATGACTAATTTTTAGGTTAACATCTTGGTTGTGTAGCATTTTATTAAACTGCACCTCTAGCACACCCTTTTTTCTATTTCCTTATCTTTTGTACCAAATTTGTTAAAAGTACTCTAAGTAGAATTAATAGTGAATTTTATTTTGTCAATTTGGGCACAAAGACTCCACAATACCATTCAGATGTAAATCATCAGGATTCTTTTTTTATTATTCTTAGTACATTTTAGTCGCTCATTAATTCAACTTCAACTACAAGTCACTATTTCAGCTACAGAGATTGTTTCTTGTTATAAATGCCATTCTCTTCAAGACACAGGTGATCATGTCCTTCCACATATTCTTTTCTTATTGAGAGTTTGATCCTCACTGCATGCTCATACTTGTGCCCTTGTGCCACATCTAAGCTATGCTTATATGTGACTTGCCATGACTTCATGAGAACAAATAGAATGATTTTCACAATTTTGCATTCAGAGTTTTCCTTCTCTGGCTGTCAATCAAATCTTCAGAGCCCAGTCTACCCTGCTATTTAACCTATAGCTAGAGTTGCAGAGAAGAGATATCTTTCCCAAGGATATTAGTGCAAAAATTTCAAATGACTAGGCTGGAATTTGAACTCAGTTTACTGATTTCATTTTCTGTACCAATAACCATTATGCTACCTGCGTTTATATAAACGAAATCAAACCTTTAAGATGATATAGACAACATTTTGAACAAATGAATTATTGATGTTAAAAAACAAATCATTACCAATACAAAAACAATTATACTTTTTGTACAAAGCTTCACTTATTAAATCCATGAGCATTTGTCTAATGCAAAGAAACAGGGCTTACATTTAGTGTTAGGGCCAGCGTCATGACAATACTGAGTACAAACATTCCCATGAGCCCTGTGAGGTGGAGAGTTCTTCGACCCACATACTCCATGAGGGGGATACTTATGAATGTCATGACAACCATAACTGCACCGATTCCACTGACAGCATGAGTAGCCACATTGGGCAGCATTCCAGCTGAGACGAATAGAGAGTGGGAATAGTAAAGAATCTGAAAAGTTTAAAGAAACAGAGAAATATGAAAAAAAGACATCAGTTATTATGTCTTAAAATGGATTCCATCTGCAAAAAGGAGACATTATTATATCATAAAATTCATGACATCTGCAAGCTTCATTTCATATAGGAAAGTTAGAGGACAATTTCTTTTGTAAAAGACAGAAAAGTGGGAAGAAAGAATAGGGAAATGGGGGAGAATAGAAAAAGAGGGGTACAGGTAAAAAAGGGGGAGAATAATAAGAAAAAAGAGGAGAGAAAATTTGACACTCACAGGACATATAGAACACAAGAATGACAGACATTATTTACATTATTTGGACTATTGTCCTCATCTTTGTTGCCATATTTATTACAACGTTTCGGCCATTGGAATGTCGAACTGAACCCATTATTTCACTCACTGGGATAGACTGTTCTAGTTCCACGTGCCATGTTTAATGGATGCCAGTTATCAGTTATTTTCTGTTAATTTTCCCTCTGAAAGTTCTCCACTGCCTTAATCATCAGGATCCTTTTTTTTATTATTCTTAGTACATTTTAGTCGCTCATCAATTCAACTTCAACTACAAGTCACTATTTCAGCTACAGAGATTGTTTCTTGTTATAAATGCCATTCTCTTCAAGACACAGGTGATCATGTCCTTCCACATATTCTTTTCTTATTGGGAGTTTGATCCTCACTGGGTGCTCATATTTTGGGTCCTGTCACTGGATCTAACCAATGCCTTTATCCACTGTGCCATGTGTCCTTGAGGACATCTGTGTATGAATTTCTGGGTATTATAAACCTAATGTCTTCAGCAACCTTTTTTTACCAGTGCTCATTTTGCAATTTTTGCTGTTATCATTGCCTTTTTTTTTAACCAGATTTTGCTGTTATCATTGCCTTTTTTTTTTTTTTAACCAGATCTCATATTGCAACTTTTGTTGTTATTATCGCTTTTCTCTGGCACTCCTTATTACTGGTTCCCATATTGTATTCATTTCTATGCTTGGTTGGCTGAGGAAATTTTTGTGGCCTAGCATATGTGCTGATTCCTTAAGTTTACGAATTTTCCAATGGTGTTCTTTGTCTATGATCTCAACATGATCCCACAGAGGGCGGTGATCTCCCTTCTCTCTCCATATGTGGTCAGCCACGCCTGATTTTTCCACTTTCCCTCGTGTTACAGCTTTTTGGTGTTCTTGAAAATTTACCTTAAGAGGGCGGTCTGTCTCCCCTTTATATTTCTTTCCGCAGCTGCACAGGATGGCGTACACACAGTCTTTTGTCATGTTCTCCTCTATGGGGGGGTCTTACTCAGGAGAGATATCTGCTATTGTGTCGTCAAGCTTTTTAAGGCTGTCCTGATGTTATATGGACCACAGATCCTTTGTATTTTCTCTGATAACCCCTTCACATAAGGCAGGCAGACTGTTTACTGGGTGTTGTTGCCCTCCTCTTGTACATGGCTATCCCAGTTTTTGGGGTCTGCTGCCATGTACCCAGGGTAGGTGTTATGTTGTAGGGTATTAGTTATACTGACCAGTTCTTTATCTAATGTCTCTGGGTTGCCACTTACGACTTTTTCTTGGTGTTGTAAGCAGCGGATGATCCCTTTCTTTATGCTGTATGGATGGTGGGAGTTGAAATTGAGGTACTGTCCAGTAAATGTTGGTTTATGGTATATGGATGTCTTGAACCCATGCTCTGTTCAAGATATGACAGAGTAAAGCAGCACCTAACCTGTTATGAAATGACCTATTCTTTTGTGTTTTGTATGTAAATGAACATACATTTTTATGAATTGTGCTCTATTTTAGAGACACTGATAGCATCATTTTGCTTCAAGTTATTTTTGTTGAATAAAGCCTATCTTTAAGTTATTGTCTTCCTGCTATTTTGGATTGCATTCAAAATTCATAACATAACCTAGCTAATGAACTAAAGTGTAAATGGATGGTAGAACAGGGATTAGAAGAGATAACAAAAAGACAAACTTTACTAAGAGCTACAAAAGAGAGGAAATTGTGGAGAACCATCATCGTCCATGTCTTTAAAGGACACAGCACAAAGAAGAAGAGCTGCAAGTCAGAATTGTTCAAGACCTGGCACAACTATTGCAAATCAATTGGAAAATTTAACACTCACAGGACATTTTAAAAGCAAGAGGGACAGAGGAAAGCAGTGAATAACCTACCTAACAAGTTTGTGTAAATAGTTGGCAGAACAAGGATTAGAAGAGATGGCAAAAAGACAAATATTGCTAAGAGCTACAAAGGAGAGGAAGTTATGGAGAGACATAAACTCACATGTCCTGAAGTGACACTGCACATGGGAGGAGGGGAGAAATGTCATTCCAAGTGAAAAAGTGAGAAAATTAAAACAAAAAAAGAAAAAAATTCTTGTTCTACTTACAGCTAAGATTCCACAGGACTGCTGCGATATTTGCATCACAATACCTATCACCAATTGTTTTCTTAAGGATGATTTTACTATCAATTGTGCAATGCTGATCTGTAGTAACAAAAAAATAAATAAAAAAGATCCTTTCAGACCAGTGGAGATTGGTTTGGTTTGTTTTACGGCATATCAACCTCAATGTGTCATTTAATGCCGACAACTTATTTTTTTTTTTTCCTGGTAATCTATTTTTGTTAATATTTTTTTCCTCAAAAACATAGCTGGTAATATTTTTTCAAAAACATATAGCTGGTAATATTATTTTTCCAAAAACGTACAGCTGGTAAAATTATTTTTTCAAAAACGTATTATCAGAGGCCTTGCTGTTGGATGTAGTTTATCGTCTTACCCAGGACGCAGATGTAGTTTGTCGTCATACCCAGGACGTGGATGTAGTTTATCGTCATACCCAGGACGTGGATGTAGTTTATCGTCATACCCAGGACACCAGATCAGTGGAGACTCAGATGATAAAAGTAAATAAAATGTCATAAAAAATCTAAAAAAAGCCAAGACTTCACAATCCATAGACTGCAGACAATATTTGTTTGAGCTTTAAAAATGGAGATTTTAAAATCATATGCAAAAATATTTTACCTTTCTTGTCAAATATTCTATTATCACAATGTGGGATATTTAATAACAAAAGTGATGGAAACAAACAAAAAGAATTTAAATGAAATTAGCTAGATTATATACTCAAAACATATTTAAAAAAAAAATCTAAATGTAAAATTCTCAGCATCCCTTTTCCTATATGTGCATGTATAGCCACATCAACAAAAACTTTACTTTAGTCTGATGAAATTCTAGAGAACAAAATACATCACACAAAATGTTTTCTATTTTGTCAGTTTTTTTTTTCTTAAAATTGTACTTGACATATAAAAATTTATATATTATCTTCACCATACAAAAATATATAAAACAAAGGAGCAGGAAGATAGGAAAAAATTACTCACTGTAATGTGGTGGCTTCAAAAACAAAGAATAAACAGCAAAAAGAAGCTAACTGGTTATCACTCCTTAGAGCCAATAGAGGACAAAAACAAATATGTGCATGATTAAAAAAAGAGGAGAAAAAATTACTACCAGAGAAACAGCATTGTAAATCTGACAGATTAGACCCAGCAGCCAGTTCTTCAGCTAAAAGAGGGAAGGCTGCTTAGACTTAATATAAATGGTCTCAAGAACTCAGATTGTAATTTGAATGAGCCCAGGAAATATCAATGTGTAAACAAATTTTCATATTGCCCTCAACTAATAAACTCCCAAGTGAATGATTTTATAACAAGAAATTTGTACATACCTTTGGTTCTGCTTGGCACATTCTTTGTTCAGATTTCATATCTTCAATGTCAAGGTCAACATCAAACTTCCCTCGTAAGGTAACAAGAGCTTAAAAAATAATAATAATAATCCTTTATAGCAATAAATGAAATATGGAAGCATATTGATAATCATTCATTTTATCACTTCACTACAGTTTCTTCAAGGTTCAGGTAAGCTTTATAAAACAGATAAATGAAGATTTAAATGATAGAGCTGTAAAATATTTCTTTGAAGGGAAGTATTTTCATATAAAATTGATTTCTTTTAAAATCTTCTGCAGCTATACACTCTTAAAACTGAAAGCTTTCCACAGAACCGAATGGTCATTATTAAGGCAAATTATAATTACTATTGAGGTGACAACTATCCATATAGAAAATTAAATTAACAGGTTCAAATTCTAGCTGTGACTGTTGCACATCACTACACAGCAATGCTCTCCAAAAAGGTACAAGTTAATTTCTATTCTCTCCTCAGCTGTGGTGAAATAATAGGGCAGACTGGATTCTCTAGCCTTGTAGAGCAACCAAAAGGACAACTCTGAATTCAAAACCATGGAGAAAGTTTGTTTGATTTTGATTTACGGCATATCAACACTTCAATGGGTTATTTAATGACGACAAAATTTTTATTGCTGGTAATATTTTTTTTTTTCAAATGTATTGCTGGAAATTTTTTTTTCCCTCAAAAATTTATTTCTGGTAATATTTTTTCTTCAAAAATGTATCACTTGCAATTTTTTTTTTCAAAAAAGTATAGCTGGTAATAACTTTTTTTACAAAGTATTTCTGGTATTAAACCCTATTTTTATACTTTTATTGTGTTTTGATCCCTGTTTGGGGTAAAAAAAATATACTGCTGGTAATAATGTACTCCGGTTAATAATTTCTTTCCTTCAAAAATATATTGCTGGTATTTCTTTTTTCAAAACATATTGCTGGAAATTATTTTTTTTTCCCCAAAAAGGCATCGCTGGTATTAAAACCTATTTTTACACTTTCATAGCGAGATTTAACTATTTGCCCATAGCTGGAACCCTAACAGGTGCTACCACCCCGGGTCATGGTGGACCTGTGAACACCACCAATTAAGAGGTTGTTCCACACTCCCCAAAACCTCCTGATCAGAGGCCTTGCTGTTGTTGGATGTAGTTTATCGTCTTACCCAGGATGGGGGGAGAAGGTGATGGGGTTACTACTATCTTTCCTAACAACTTTTATAAACTGTCTCCTTTCAGGATGTGGAAGATTATGCTTATCCTAAAATTTCTAGTCTTCATAACAATCACAGTAATTCATAGGTACTAAGAAAATGAAATGACTGCCTTAAAAAAATGAAAATATTTTAAAAAGACAAATTTTACACAAAATGTTTTATTCACAAATATTTACATGTCACCCTGGTCATTCTTGGGTCTCTTGGTACTATGCATTATACTTTTATTAGAATAATGCCTCCTACCTACAAACCCACTACCCCCAAACTGTATCTGCCGTCAGGCATTTCCTGATGCTTGTGATGCTCCAAAAGTCAAGTGCTGAGGGAACTAGAAATTTTTGTCTCTATCCATTACATATATAGGGGAGCCCCCCCCCACTCACAACACCCACCCTTAAACTT